TTACAGGGCTCCACTGTTTGTCACACTTAATGCCAGGCTTTTTATTGAAGTCAATGCAAGAGCTCTAGTTTTGCCTTTGGATCAGGCCCATAGAGCTGTTCATCTTCCAAAGCATTTGTTAAACAAATCAAATTGTGAGGCACCTCTACAGAGACATGGTTTGAAACAGCAATTTGTGGGGGAAGAAAAGACAAGAACTCCAGATCTAGATGGGGGAGAGTAATGGCATGAACCAAAGCTATTGTTTTCTTCCCCTACCAGCTGACTGCCTCAGATCCAAAGGGGCTGAGAGATGGGGGAGATTTGCATTCCTGAAGCTGAAGCTAGCAAACAAAGGAATCTGTTTCTTGATTGAAAAGATCGGAATTCTTCAGCAAGCCCTCACTTTTGCTGGACTTCTATTAATAGTACAACGTTTATTCATGGCAGTGAATAAATTGAGTCAATGTTTGTCAAATGCTGTGGGCTCAGGAATTCACAGAATAGAGAAGCTCATTTCATTGGCCTGCGGAGCAAATGTCGTCTTGCAAAGCAGCAATATTTAACGTGGTTTATATAGAAGCAACTGTAAATTCTAATCCACTCTGTAAACTGTGTTCATTCTGCTTTAGAATCAAGACCAGGGCTGGGTGATTGCTGTGGCCTTGTCTACAATGGCAGAATTTTCCAACAAATTCAAACTGATTTTGATAGACAAAGCTCCAGTGGCCCCAACCAGTTATAAGAACTGTTCCAGGCACCAAAGCCTCGTCCACACTGCAGTTCCAACCAGTTTTAGAATGGGTTTGTATTTTGGTGCAGTCAAGCAAACCAAACCCAGCAGGTCTCACAGAGCCTTGGCACCATAAATAAGGCAGATTTCTATCAACTCAGAAACCAAGGTAAACTCTCCATAGACCTAAACTCAGGCTTAGGAAAAAGATGTTCACTGTCATTATCCATTACTATGAACTACCACTATGAATGACAATGAACAGTTATTGGACCAGAGAAAGAGTGAGGATTATTCTGGAGTTTAGTGGTCAGGGCACTCACCTAGGATGTGGAAGACCCAAGCGTTAAGTCTCTGCTCCAAGGTCTAATTATTTATAAAGAGTGGAACAGCTTCAGCAGGAGAGAGGAGACTCAACCCAGAATATCTCATAGTTCAGTGGTTAGGGCACTCTTCAGGGAAGTGGGGGGACCCCTGTTCAAATCCCCTCTCCACATCAGGCAGAGCGGGGAATTGAATCCAGGTCTGCTACATCCCAGGTGAGTTCCCTAATAGCTAGGCTAACAGTTGTAAGGCCTCCTTCCCAGTCCCCCCAAAAATATTTTAACCAAAACTATTGTATTTTTGGCAAATTTCTGTCAAATTCGTGACTTGTTCCAGGTCAATCAAAACTGCATTTTTTGGTGAATAAATAATTAATCTGAAAAATGTCACCCAGCTCTAGCTGAAAGTTAGCTCAGGTATGTCTCCATGTACCACAATGACACCTCTGATTGCAGTGAAGACATACCAGATGGGGTAGGCAGGGTTCCACTTGCATCCATAGTTAACACATTTCCACAGCCAATTCTCTAGATTCTAGGGGCCTGGGGCTACAAGTTTGGGGTTGCAAGTACATTCCGATGAATTTTAGAATGTTTAATAGGAATATTGTTATTCAGAGGCTCAAAAGGTTTAGGGGTCTGTGTAAATAGCCAGAAGCTCCTCTGAACATAAGTAAGCCCCTCCTCTGTGTGGCTGAGTAATGAACAATCAAATATCCCCAGAGCAGGAACTTTCTACATCATATTTCCTCTATCATCTTAGGCCCAACTTAAAAAGCATTGATCTAGATTAGCCCCGAGTTTCCAACTGCTCAGCCAAATTCTGATCGTTCTATCACTGTCAATCTAGAGCTATGCCAAAGTCAGCCGACTTACTCCGAATTCACACCAGCGTACACAAGATTAGCATTAAATGGGTTAAAAATTGATTTCACCATAACCACCACACTCTGTAATACTGAATGCACAGTACGTGAACTCTTAAATAACTGCTTTGTTCCTAAAGCAGTGAGGATTTGTACGTGTTTACTGCATGCCTAATGGAAACAGAGGGCATATTTATACCTGCAAAGCAGAGGCAAAAAAGGATAGATGGAGCCCAAGGGAAAGACCCTTGGCTGAGTCACAGCATCTTTGCATCACTCCAGAAAAACAATGCTACCCCCATGATGACTAATTTGAGGATCCCCTGCCTCGGGGAATCCTTGGGGAACATGGAGTCACCAGAGCAGCTACTAAGGCAGCACCTGTTGCAGCAGCTGTGGAAAAAAAGAGGCATGACTGAGGCCTCCTTACAAATTGGTGATCTCCAGGTGCAGAATATCCCCCAAGTGCTCTTGGCACCTGATGCAGTTTAGAGCAGCCTTCAGGCAAGCTCTGTTCAGCATTGGGCAACCAAGGACACACATTGCTGGCTCAGGATATAGGCAGGATATAAGTGGCACCTTTGCACACAGCCCTCCTGAGCCTTGCCCAGTGCTTCTTTGGCCGCAGCCCAGGAGTATTTTTATGCAGCCTTCAGAGGAAACTGCTAGGGTGGGTAATGGCAAGAGAAAAAGAGGATGTTCACTAACTAGGCATAAGCTGTAATACTGAGGGGATTTTTCCACCCTCGGTGTCCAGATGTTGATCAGAACAGTATTGAGATAATATGAAAATCTGGGGGTACCACGAGACCAGTCTCTATTTGCATCTGGCACTGCAATCAGCAGAATGGCCCTAAAAGTATTCTCCAGCAAATGTCACTACTAAACCAGTTAGCAGGGTGATCGTGGCATGCCCAAGCAGCACATGTATTGTACTAATGACAATTCTCTGATGACAGATTAGACTGACTTGCACTGCACCTGTATCAGATTCCCAAGTGCAACTCAGAGCCATAAAATGCAGCCCCTGGCTGCCCTCATCCCCTAACTATTCAGTGAGGACAGAATTGATCAGCTGCAGATTTTTAGTGGTAGGAAGCTCAAACAATAAAACATTTCTGTTCCTCTTCCAAAGAAGATCTGAGCAGAAGTAAATTTTGTGGGACTGTGCATTTACTATCAATCAAATGCACACCCGTTGAGATGGAAATTATGTAGAGACTTGTCACCCCTGAAAAGCTGCCAAATCACACTGTCACACTGTTTGGTGCCCCTGGGTATTAGTTAAACCAGTGAACAGGAGTTGCTGGATCAAAGGGACACATCATATTAAAAATACATTTTTTTCAGTACCAGGGCCCGACCCTGTAATGAGATCCATGCAGGAACATCACTGGTTCCACACAGACCTGCCTGTATGCATCTCATCACAAGATCAGGACCAAACCTCTTTGCCTGCATTACAAATTACACTTCAGATCAGGCCTTCTGAAACATTTTCATAGTGCAGACCACATGGTACTACACAGATTGTCTCATGGACACTTCCCCTCATGGTCATGAGCATGCAGCCAACCTTCCCTCCTATTGATAACGACATAACATCCCTGTGGCCCTTGCCAATGTAGAACAGTAATATCCAAAAAAGTGCATCATCGTGTAGTTTTAGCTTCTTTTAATGAAGTCTAGCAGCTGGGGAAAAGAGGAGAGACAGCACCAGTTGACCAGCCGACTTTCCATACACCACCCACAGCTGCTCGGCAGGCCATTAGAGGCTCTTGAACTGCAGTTCATTGAAAACACTTCCTTTATGGGTCAGAGTTCATGCTGTTTACTTTTTGCATCTCCCACTGCTTTAAAAAAAACCAACTAGGCTAGGAATGTGCATGTTTATTTGTAATTAGTTTTAGCCTATTTCACCTTCAGGGCACTAGCACAGGGCTGCCGCAATGACTGAGCTGCTAGCAGTTCAGGGGGGTGTTTCTTAAAAAGAAACTGCTCTCATTGGTATTTAAAAAACCACCGAAATATTTCTACTGGTTTTGTAAAAGCTTATTCTTACTAATGTTAAGTTGATACATATATGGTCCCCCATCATCACCACAGTATCTGAGCGCTTCATTATCTTTAATGGACTTATCCTCATGGCACCCCTGTGAAGTAGGAAAGTGCTATTATCCCCATTTTACAATGGGGAACTAAGCCACAGACGGTATGTCTACTCCGCAACTAAGCACCCGCGGCTGCCCCTTGCCAACTCGGGCTCGCAGGGCTGGATCTGTGGGGCTGTTTCACCGCAGTGTAGACTTCTGGGCTTGGGCTGAAGCCCAAGCTCTGGGACTCTCCCACCTCACAGGGTCCTAGAGCCAGGGCTTCAGCCTGAGCCTGGAAGGCTACACAGCCATGAAACAGCCCTGCAGCCCGAGTCCTGCGCGCCTCAGCTGGTTGGCACGGGGCAGCCATGGGTGTCTAGTTGCTGTGTAGACATATCCAGAGACATTAAGTAACTTGCCCAAGATCACATAGGAAAAATTTGTGGGAGAGTAGGGAATTGAACCTAGTTGTCACAAATCCCAGGATAAACCCTTAACCACTGAACTATTCTTCTTCTTCTTCGGCCAGGTCTACACTACACACTTACTTCAGTATAACTATGTCGCTCGGGGTATGAAAAATCCACACCCCTAAGTGACATAGTTTAACTGACCTTAACCCCTCTCCCCCCGTATAGACAGCACTATGTCAGCAGGAGAGCTTCTCCCACCAACAGAGCTACCACCTCTTGGGGAGGTGGAGTAACTAAGCATTTGTAGTATAGCCCTGCCCTTAGACAAAGGCCTGAGTGAGTTTGAAGCTCCACCTACATAAAGACTGGTGTTGTAGTACTGGGCATATACTACTTCTGAAGCTTGATTCAGGCTATTAGGGCCAATCATGTGTGGAGCTAAGCACCTGAAATCGCCCTGGAAGTTAATGGGAGATGAAGACACTCCAGACTTTGCAGGATCATGCTCTAACAAGTAGGTTCCCAGGAATAAAACTATTACTGGCTTCAATAGGAGCAGGACTGGGCTCACAGTCTATTGGTATGGCACCAACCTTATCTGCAAATTCGGATGAAATATTGCAGGTGTTGCTTGGAGCAGGCATTCTTTTGCATCGCTTATCTTCACTGTGCAAGGCCCAGGAATTAGCAAAATCATAGCTGCTTTCGACCAGGGTCCCTGTGAATCATGAAAAAGGGGAGGAGACAGGTGTTTAGGGGCTTGAGTAACTAAGGACCTGCGCTGACTTTGTGAATTTGAGACACTCATGAATTGTGTTTTAATCAATCTACAACGTTAAAGCATTCCCCTTCCAACAGATTGTTTATGGAAAACTACCCAGAGCAATCAGGACTGAATCCAGCAAGGAGTTCTTCTACAATCACCTCCCCACACAACGAACAGACAAGGCAGATGAGTGCTAATGGCTGTGGGAGGCAGTTCCCATCATTGCTCAACTCTACAGGAAGAGATTAATTATTTAACTACATTCTAGATGTTATTTGCTGGTCAGATAAATTCTGCTTGGAGCCTAAGTGCACTGGGGTGTTTTTTCTGTGTTTTTTTTTTTAAATACAAATAATAGAAATTAGAGATTGAAACAAAATAATTAAGTCACCATCCACCTCCCAACTAAGATAGAAGCGTTTCTTACAGCAGCTCAATTTCCCCCCCTTTCTGCAACCATTTTTTTAACCTTTCACATCCCATAATTCTTTGGGCCATTGTCATTTGAACGATTAGTGCATTTATTGGACCTCACTGCTGTGTTGTATCATGTGCAGTCAATTCCACCTATGTAAAAACATCGTTTTAATTCGGTAGAATTTAACACCCACTTTGTATTGGCATGGTTGTGCTAGGCTGTGGGGATTTAGGCCCTGTGGCTGCTAGCTACTGGGAAGAGGAAGCTACAACCCCACTCCTTCCACTCCCTCTTGTTGACATGGGGGCTTATTTCATGCCTTCACCATTCCTTCCTTCTCCATCTTCCAGCCACTTACAAAGGGAACACCTCTTTCTCTCCATCTATCGCTGCCGTAAAATGCTTAATTTCACATAGTTTGACTTGCCAACTCTTGAATATTATTGTGACGCTTGTGATTTTTGATGTTTTCTTAAAGGTCCAGCTCCTGGAGTCATGTGAAGACGTGAGAGACTCTGCTTTTTCTCTTTTTTTTTTTCTTTCTTTTCTTTAAGTCAGTTTCTAGCCATCATGGGTGCAGAAAAAAGCTTGAAAATGTGTCCCAAGCATATCCAATGTGATCCCAACAGTTGTTATTTTAATAATCTCATGATTTTTAATGCAATGATGTTTGAGGTCTGATTCAGACATTTTGAACATTTGTAGTTGGCAATACTGTACTAGTCAGGAGGGATTTTTCCAGAAGTCAATTTCCCAGTCTGTCCTGGGCAAATACACGCTTCTCTATGTTTATGGGACGGGTTGATCCAGTAACCAGTGCACTACTCATGGCTCATCTCCACCTACCAGGGGATTGACGTGCAGTGATCCATCCACCAGGGGTCGATTTAGCGGGTCTAGTGAAGACCTGCTAAATCAACTGCCGATTGCTCTCCCGTTGACTCCGGTACTCCACAAGAACGTGAAGCATAAAGTAAGTCAACGAGAGAGTTTCTCCCATCAACCCAGCCCAGCGTACACACTGCAAAAGGTTGACCTAGGCTACGTCGACTCCAGTTACGTGACTAACGTAGCTGGAGTTGTGTAACTTAGGTCGACTGTTCCCCGTAGTGTAGACCTGCCCTCAGTCACAGTAAGCAACATTCTAACAGCATGCCAGCTGAGAATGGAGAGCAGTGAAGGCTGAGAGGGACGATGATTGCTCTCTGTAAGTACATCACATCAGAGGGGGTATACACCAGGGAGGAAGAAAAGCTATTTAAGTTAAAGGAAAATGCTGACATACAAACAAATGGATATAAACTGACCATGAATAAATTCAGGCTGAAAATTAGAAGTTTTCTAGCCATCAGAGGAGTGACGTGTTGGAACAGCCTCCCAATAGGAGTAGTGGGGGCAAACTAAATTAGCTTTAAGATAGAGCTTGATAAATGTACAGGTGGCGGTGTATGACAGGATTACCTGTGAGGATCGGAGACTGGGGTCAGCAGCCCTAGGGGTCCATTCCAGTCCTATGTCTTATGTTCCTAAATCTCATGCCTCTGTGGTCAGGAAGGACATTCCCCTTCCCCCACCAATAAATTCTCTCTCTCAGCTGCTTGGCTGGTGAGTCTCACCCACATGTTCAGGAGGTAAGTGATCACCATTTTGGGGATGGGGAAGAAATTTTCCCCCAGATCAAAATTGCGGTTTTTTGACCTTCCTCTGCAGGGCGGCATGCAAGACACTTGCTAGGATCATCTGGGCTCATCCCAACTAATCAATTCCCTGCCATTGCAGGGCTCTCAAGCACAGGTGCACATCAGTCCCACTCATTCTCTGCCTATGGCACACAGAAGTTTAGTCTCCTAAGGGCTATCATCTAATCCAGGTTGTTGGGCTCAATACAGGGGTAACTGGATGGGCTTTGGTGGCCTATGATGTGCATGCGGTCAGACTAGATGATTTGGTGGTCTCTTCTAGCCTTAAATTCTAGGACTCTAATCTCCCCTCCCATCCCAGAGACCATCTTTTTGTTCGGTGTTTGCACAGGGCCTCACACAATGGGGTCCTGGTCTGAGACTGGGGCTCCTAGGCACTACCACAATACACACACACACACACACACACACACACACACAGTGCATTTATTAAAAGTGACTTGCCTTTTCCAGTGTTCTGAAAGGAGCAGGGAAAGGAGTCAATCTTAAAATCACAGTACTATAAATTTTCACATGCACAGACCCCTTGTCTGCAGCTGATATTAGAGCAAAAGCCTTTGCTCTCAGCAACTCATTAAATATTGTTCAAACTATCCCCAAAGGTCCAGAATATTTTACTTATGATGATTATTAATTACATATTCACAGTAGCACCTAGAGCCCCAACTGAGATGGAGGTCCCATCTACCAAACACAAAGGGTCTGCCTACACTGCAGACAGACACCCATGGCTGGCCCATCCCAGCTGACTCGGGCTTGCAGGGCTCAGGCGAAGGGGCTGTTTAATTGCAGTGCAGATGTTTGGGCTCAGGCTGGATCCCTGGCTTTAGGACCCTGCAAGGTGGGAGGGTCCCAGAGCTCAGGCTCCAGCCCAAGCCCAGAAGTCTACACAGTAATGAAACAGCCCCACATCCCCAGCCCCCCGAGCCCAAGTTGGCTGGCATGAGCCAGCTGTGGGTGTCTAATTGCAATGTAGATAGACCCATAGTGAGATGCAGTCCCTGCCCCTGAAAAGTTTATGCTATAAATAGATAAGGAATGGGAAGGGAATCAGAAGCACCAAAAGCTAAAACATGAACTTGGGAAAGTCACAGCTGGGATCAGAACCCAGGTCTCCTATCCCGTAGACCACACTTCCAAAGCATTTTAAACAGCATAACGAGACATGACGAACACATGCAGACCTGGTCTCCAGATGTTAAGAGCAGGACGTGCATGGTTTCATTATAAACAATACATAATAACCAGCGACACTAAATAGACACACAAGAAAATTAATTCAAGCAGCATCCTTAAGTCTCTCTCACTCAACTGTCATCAGATCTTTTCCTCACCAGGACTAACCACAACTGGGCACCTTCAAATCTAGAGCTGTACATAGCATATTGAGCTCTCCAGCTTGTCCCCTGCCCAATTGGCATAACGGCCACCTCTGGGAGGGTCTGACGTGATAAAACCCAATCCTCCATTTCAAACCCCTTTTGCCAACCACGCACAGCTCCTCATGTAGAGAAGCAGTTATTTTTTATCTGGATTGTAACAGCCCCTGTAATGTGCTAGGATACATTACAGTAGCAGCAACAGCCCGTATGATGTACTTTCCAAATACAAACAAAGGCACAGGCCTTGCCCCAAAACTCACAGTCTGAGTAGACAAGCAACATATGATGGACACAGGGGGACAGGAATAAAAACGACAAGGAATATGTATTTCTCAAATAAGCATCATCTTTCCTCACTTGCCCTTTGTCTTGCTACTAATAGTTGACAGTTTTCTTAGGATTCACGACAGAAGTGGGTCTTAAGGAGGAAGTTGAAGGCGGAATGGACAGTGACATTACAGAGCAGTGTCCTGACTGTGCAGGGACAAACTGCTGCATCCACACACAATCCCAGCAACTTCAAGGAGGCTCCAGGAAGGTGGACTGCTGCTCTCCCTTTGAGTCAAGTGCAGGATCGGGGCCCTGTCCAGGTTAAACAGTTTGAGAATCATTGCTCACTAAATCGGAGACTGAGGGAGACGAGCGAGGGAGAATTATAGAAATGTGGGACTGGAAGAGACCTTGAGAGGTCATCTAGTCCAGCCCCCCGTCTTGAGGCAGGAATAAGTATACCTAATCAACCCTGACAGATGCCTAAATATTTAAAGCAGGCATCTAAACATTTGAATACTGAGTTAGGTTGCCTGTAGGAAGAAGACAATGAAAGAGAGAACGGAAAAAACCAGCAAAGGAGTCTGATTCTCCACTGCCTTCTCCAGTGTGTTATTTGTATTTGTATTTGATGGCACTTTGTACAGATATGACTACAGTAGGCTCAAGGCAGTGGGCAACCCAGACTGTTTGTCTCAGGTGTTCCTCAAATCAAGACACTGGATGCAATAATGGTATTGAGAGGTAAGCAGCTATCAGATGAGCCCTAACACAAGGCTCTCTCTTGTTCTGACCTGGCTCATCATTAACTCCCAACAGTCAAGTGGATATTTGTGTCTGTTTTATCTTCTAAAATATTTGATACCGAGCCATTTCCATTTTCTGTGTTCCAAAATATCTTCTGAAAAAAATGAGGGAGACTTTCAAAAGGCAGCTAGCCATCTAACTCCTATTGAGCACCAACAGAGATGTGCGTGAAGTCATTACCTCTTGTAAAGTCATTGTATGGCCATTTAGGTACATTGGAGAATATAGGTAATGGACCTTTACATGTTTCTGCAGATGGACATTTTGGAGAGGACTCACCAAACCATCCTCCCCTTTACACATCACTATCAATGAGCTAGATGATTCTCAGATACTTCACATACCTTGCAGGAGTACAAAAAATGAGTGACAGAA